AGGGCGCCCTCTAACGACGGCCCCATTCATATCCGCTATGTATACTTCTATCGTTACTCTACTTTCATCCATTCTTTAAAATCCTATATAAATAAAATCTGCTATATACAATATCTAAATGAAAGAAATAAATATAAATAGACTATTGCATAATAAAACACAAAAACTATTGTTGTAACCTTGGCAATGACTTGTCACGCCGCGTGCGCCGAAAGTGAATTGATCTATAGATCTATGATCCATGGATCATTGGCGTGTCGATCATTTGTATTGTTCATTATTTTGACACTGACTTTGGGATTTTCGATCGATATCTACTTAGATTGAGGTAATTGGAGCGAATTTTGATACGTTAAATATAATTTTATTTAACACCCACTTTTCACGTTATGGTATGTGTAGGTAAGTACCATGTTATAGGGGGTGAAATTGTAACCTGCTAAGGGCCAATTTTTCAATCATCAGTTAATTCATAACTGTAGAATAAAATTGTCATTGTTTCGTACGAAAGAATTGTCAAATATTTAAAGTTATTCCTGAGTAAAAAATTATCTAGCGTTAGAGTAATTGACCATTAATCCAGATATGAGAATGCGATCATTAATCTAGATTCGTGAATGTTATAATAGAATATTTATTTATTTATTATAATCGGTCTTTATTTATACATAGAATGAAAGGTGTAAAGTGAGTCTAGATAGTCTGAGAAAGTAGTCTGATGTAACTGTGTCTAGGGGTTGAACCGCAAAATAGTTTATTTTTCGTGTATGTACTTTTTCGGGATAAAAAGTACCCAGTGTTGTGCCCAGCATAATATTAAAGTATTATCATACGAAGTTTCATTGCAAGCGGACCAGTAGTTTTTGCGTGATGCGTGAACATACATACAGACAGACAAAAATTTTAATCACAGTTTTGGATTCGGTGTCTATCTAGTAACACCCCCTACTGTTTATTTCTTTTTAATATTTTCAATGTACAGAATTTACACTTTTACAGTTTTACTATATGTATAGATACTGCCTACCCCTCGGAGAATAGACGCGAGTTACAAGCGTCAATCATAATTCTCCATTAAATTAAAATTGACATCAATTCCTTCGGACCAATAGCGTAACGTTTCATTTGTTACAATTATAGACAATTGTAAGCAATCAGCTGCGTCCGCCATCTTGAAATTTCAAACGTCAAATATAGGTGACGTGACATCAAATTCTCATCCATTTACACTGAAGAACATACATACATAACTTCACGCCTGTCTCCCATGGGGGATAGGCAGAGACTATGGACCGCCATTATACTGAAGAACTTAAAACGTAATTTGTATAAGCAACTTATAAATGCCCACTGCTGACCAAAGATCTCTTCTCACACGGAGAAGGTTTGAGCATTAATCATTTGGATGGCGATTTCAAACTTATTAGAAACTAGCTACTTCCGCGCGGTTGCACCCGCTCTGCTCGGCTCCTAATGATTGTACGTGATGTTTTGTCGCCTTATAACTTTCGTCAATAAATATACTATCCAACACAAAAAGAATTATTGAAATCGGACTAGTAGTTTCGAGATTAGCGCGTTCTAACAAACAAACAAAAAAAAACAAACTCTTCAGCTTTATAATATTAGTATTTTTTTTAAGGGTTGAAAATCATCGACTGTCTGCTCCCGCCTAGGTGAGGCGGGAGGGAGTGTCAGACTCTTACTGGCTAAACACCACCCCGTTCTTTCTCCTGCACGTCGAGCCGGAGCCTCGGTAACCCGTTAGGTTCTCCGCGACATAATATTAGTGTAGATTATAAGGAAGGAATAGAATGTATAAACTATCTGCCAGTTATTTATATTATAACATTCGTGAGACGTACTAAATTAATATATTTTCATGTTCAGTGCTTGAAATTATGGCAATAAGCGAGCGTGGTGATTAATGCTCAAACCTTATCGGTGCGATCACAAGTTGATAATATTCAGCAGTGGCCACTTATAGGCTGTTGATACGATGATGAATTTCGGCCGTTAAACTCAAATAAATCAGGAGATATCATAGGAGAGATAGAAGAGCACATAAAATTTGTTAGTTTATAAGAAAAATAATTTTAGTAAACAATTTTAGTAATTTAACAATTTTAGTAATTTGCATACCGCAATGACGGCGACACATGTTGGTCTTTTTTAAAAATATTTATACAACATCTCTGTATTTACCGTGTTTCTGGCAAATAAATATATTATTATTATTATGTATGGCTTTATCATTCACGGGACTACATGGTCCCGGTCATTTGGAAGGCGTACGAGGGGCCGAAGCCAACTGCGCAGAGGCCCTTTAAACAACTTTAATCTAAATGTAATGGACACACAAACCGGCGACTATCCCTGTATGCACTATGGAAACTATTAAACTATTATTATTATTATTTTCTTGCAATTATATACAGACATATATAATTATATATAGAAATATAGACTGCCTCGTTGGCCGAGTGGTCGCAAGTGCGACTGCCGGGCAAGGAGTCTCGGGTTCGATTCCCGGGTCGGGCAAAGTATTACTGGGTTTTAAAAAATTCTCAGTAGTAGCGCGGAGTCTGGAATTGTGCCCGGTATATGGCAATAGGCTCACTCCCTATTACATGAGACTCATAACATAAATAGTGAAAAGTGGGTGTTACATTGTACAGTGGCATAATGTGCACCTCTGCCTACCCCTTCGGGGATAAAAGGCGTGATGTTATGTTATGTTTCTTGCAATTCTTCTTGCTCTCGGCTCTAAGGCCGGTTCTAATGTCCTTTACGGGCTTCCGCCAATTATTATTATTAAAATCGAGAAATAGTTTCAATATCTAGACAAATCCGGATCGAACCGGCAGACTACAGTATCGACAGTCAACCAGCGCCGAAAATCAGTAAAAAATGTTACCTATACACAATCTCCGGTACCGTACCGAATTTCGTCCGGTTGTTAAATAAAAAAGCCACATGTTTTAATTGTTTTCCGATCACCAACGCCATTTTGATTTCGGCCATCTTGTGACCTTCACGGGCGACCAATCGCGAGCCGTTTTAGATTTGTGTTACGCATGTGATACGGTTATTATGGCATTGGTAGTTTGTGTTTGAGGAAAACAGTTCTGATATTCTTTTTTCACTAGCTTTCAGTGACAACATGCCCTGTAATAATGTACACACGGCTACACATCGAGCTTTACATAACCAATATAAACTGAACGTTAAATGTGTGGAAAGATGATGCGACGCGACACCAGGATAAACTGGTTTTGTATAGATTGATGTGTGGCCGTGTGTACCATTCAAATGGTGTAAAATATTCATTATCTAACTGACAGATTAATTACATTGTTAATTTTCATACACTGTCGACTGCCCTGTTATTTACCAATACTTACAAGGCACTCAAAATACCTACCCGAGCGTACGGCGCGTCGCGTTCCGCGCGCGCCTCAAAGAGCCATCAGACCACCACAGATGGGGCCCAATAGGGTCGATGCCGATTCGGAGTCGCGGAGAACCTAACGGGTAACCGGGGCTCCGGCTCGACGTGCAGGAGAAGGAACGGGGTGGTTTTTAGTCAGTAAGAGTCTGACACTCCCTTCCGCCTCACCCAGGCGGGAGCAGTCATTCGATGATTTTCCCCCCTTAAAAAAAAGGCACTCAAAATCAGAAACAACTTATAAACCACAAAAAAACGTAACCACATTACAAAACTGAACCCTAAAACGCTGCATACAAAACGAAATGTTAGCAATAATTTTCTTAGAACAAAAACTATACGCTTTGTCTCTAACCCTTTAGCTACTGCGTCCGTGCATAATTAGGCGGTCGGTCCAAAAGACCCCGCTTTTCAAAACAAGATAATTTGCTACTATTTTTGAAAAAGCTTGCGGTCAATGGGCTTAAACAATAGTACAATAATGATTTATGACTCTTATTGTATAGATTATAGAAAAATTACTTCGAAGGAGTACACAGCGGCGTTGCTTATAGTTTTTTTTACGCCTCGTGGGAGTTGATGAAAGACTATTTGGTTGAAATTTTTGCAGTTTTTTTTTCTACGGGTGCAATATTTCTTTTTGTTCAGTTTATTGTAGTTGGTTTTATTATGCAGGTGCTCTGTTCTGGTGGGATTAACTTGGTTTTGTTTTTGTCTTAGATTTGTCGTTAATTTACTGTTGTAAAAGATAATAAAGTCGTGAGTACAAAGTTAGTGTTCAGGTGTTGTAAAACTAAGGAACGTAGTAAAATCAATTATTATGTTTGCGGGTCGCTCACGTAACTGTTTGACGAGGAGCTCGGCTAGTTTCAAGCCATGCTAGAGGCTCATATTCATGAGCAGCATACCGCGCCCCGCGACGCGGCGACTGTCGCGCTGCTTTTAATATAAACTTTTTTTTATACGACGACGTTGGCAGAAAAGCACACGGCCCACCTGATGGTAAGCGGTTACCGTGGCCTTACATAGGCCACGGTAACCGCTTACTGCAACACTTGGGGCATTACATGCGTCTTGGCTCATAAACAAAGAAATACAAGAATCTGTTATATTCGTGGCGTGTTATATTTTTGAGATTGAAGAAGTTGATTCGTTGACTTTTGTTTGGAAGGATTATTGCTGTAGCTGTGGCTTAACTCGTCGAGTACCGTATTTATAGACACAATTAAAGAACAATAGGTTGTGGTCACCGGTGACCGCTTGGTGTTTGACAGTTTAAATTCAAAATAAGGATTCTAAACCATTGGTAAGATCAGTATTTGAGAATAAATGACTTCTCTTTCATATGTATCATACTGAACGTTTTACGTACAAAATCTCTGAACTGATTTAGTTGAAATTTAGCACAGAAGTACTATAAAGACTTTTACTTTTACTTATACACGTGTATTTATTTATGTATTTGAATCTTTACTGTGAAATTGACGGACTTAATGCCGTAGGCATGTATTCTTCTTCTACAGCTCTTCTAAACAAAAACCCTCCTTTCCAGGTGAATACGTGATCCAAGGTGACCTTCCTCGTGAGCTGGTCAGCAGTGAAGAATCCCGTTTTGATCTTTTGGAAGAAGCTCTTGGCCTTGTCGAGCTCGGCGAGGAGCCGGAGACCAAGAATGAACCGCCGGAAGTAAGACTCAGGACCTGGACAAGGAACCTCTGATGATAGCGTGTTTTCAGCTTCAGAAGCATGGTTTTTTGTCCAGGTTGTGGTAAACTGTTTTGTTTCTGTTTATTTATTTTGGGTGTTGGTTTCATATAGGCTATTAGCTATTGAGGGTTAGATTTTCAGCCTCATTTATGATGACGCAAGTCTGTGCGCTCATTCACTAAATTCGATGTTTTGTTTGAAATAATTGAAATCAGCCCAATGAGGCTATATTTACAAAAATCGAGATGGTTTTTACAATTTAAAACCAAATGGCATTATTTAAGCTTTAGGTTAGATAGCTATCGCTAGCTTTTCATAGTTCAGACACACAAGCCTACATCAGTAATACAAAACTCAATGAAAAGATATAAAACGATGAGTAGGTATGTCTCGATCAATATCTAGATACATTCTGTTGTTGGCACAGTGGCTAAGTAATCAACTGCGTTATCCACAAATGCTTATTCCGGGTCTGATCCAAGACATTTACATTTACATTCTAAAAAATAATGTTAAAGTTTTTTATAAGAAAATGTCTCGATGATAGCTCGTTCCACCTTTAATTCTGTTTATAGGCGATAGAGGGCAGCAGCAGTGGGTCTACATCCAGCTCGGAGATGCTTCACCCGGCGATGCGGCATGTGCCGCATCACCCGTTGGCGCATTACCATAATCAGGTTAGTAGAATCTTCTTTATACTGGGTCTGATAGATCTCTTAAACTTTTTGCAAAATATTGTTTCTGCTATCGCTCGTACTTAGACATTTTTTAGTTTTTTCTGAAGGTAGATGGTTTTAGAATTTCATGTGGTATTTAAGCAGATAATATTTTATGGACATAAATTAAATATGGATATAAAATTTACTTTTCCTAAATTACCTAGTTTATGTAAAATAAAAAGCGACAAGATAAAAACAAAATTAATATCCGAACTGAAATAAACAATTGGCACTAACTTCAAATTTTAACACGCCATTTATACACAAATTCACTAAAAGTAGTTTTTATTGTAACATATTTATATAGCCTAGATCTTAGCCTCAAATTTAGACTCAAAATCTTCAAAAATAATACACAATATCCCTTATCTTACCAAACATTTTCGGTATACACGAAAAAGAAAAAACCTACAGCAGACACACGGTGTCGGTGTACAAATCAAAGGTAGACGTGTAACCTGTACGTTTAGAGTAAAATGTTGATGATAAATGAATCGATGTCATTGGGATCTTTGTACCACACACGGCGGCGGTGGGTTAAGGTTTGGCCCAAGGTGGAGGAGACAGCGGTTTTAAATTGTTTTCATTTAGGTACAGTGGGTAACGCCGTCAACCTACTTTAATGTGTCAATTTTTGTCATTGGATTTTGGAATAAATATCTAAACGATAGAGTTGAAAATTTAATAAAGAAATTTGTCGAGTTTGAGTAGGTTGACCTTCTGCCACTATAAATTATCTAGAAGTATAAAAAAAAGTTACTATTCAATAATTTTAAGGACATTTAAGTTACAATGGAATTGTATAGATATAGTTAAAATGCTACTGCTAAGCTTGAGATATTGGGTTCGATTGCATACTGTTAACAAGTCCAATGTAATTTTTATATAGGACTAGCTTTAACCCGCGGCTTTGCCCACGTATTCCTGTTTCACCCAGGAGCATTTAATCGTAATAAAACGTATCTTATCACCTAAGTCAGTCCAAACCCTGCTTGTGTACCAAACCTCATCATAGTTCACTAGTTTCAGCGTGGTTGACGAACAATTATCCAAACAAAGAAACTATCACATTTATAATATTAATACGATTATTTATACCCATTAGTTAGTATCTTATCACTTAGACCACACGCTTATACTTATAACCAGCCATTTTTAAGTTAAATAAACATTAATCATTTTGTTACAAAAAATACATTTATCGTATACGTATCTGACAAATTGTTGTATAGTTTTGTAAAGGTATAATTGTTTTTGACTACCGTGCAAACAAAACAACAGCTCATTAGAGATTGTCCAGTCGACTGATGGTAGCGTGGACTGTCCAGGCGATACGTACTTAGGTATCGTCATGAGCTTATGGTAACATGTACCTAAACAGTGACGTAGGGATCGTGCAGTCAACTGATGGTAGCGTGGCCTGTCCAGGCGATACGTACTTAGGTATCGTCATGAGCTAATGGTAACATGTAAATAGTGACTCATGTAGTGTAGAGATTGTCCAGTCAACTGATGGTAGCGTAGACTGTTCAGGCGATACGTACTTAGGTATCGTCATGAGCTAATGGTAACATGTAAACAGTGGCTCATGTAGTGTAGATTGTCTAGTCAACTGATGGTAGCGTGGCCTGTCCAGGCGATACGTACTTAGGTATCGTCATGAGCTAATGGTAACATGTGAACAGTACGTAGGCATCGTGCAGTCAACTGATGGTAGCGTGGACTGTCCAGGCGATACGTACTTAGGTATCGTCATGAGCTAATGGTAACATGTAAATAGTGACTCATGTAGTGAAGAGATTGTCCAGTCAACTGATGATAGCGTGGACTGTCCAGGTGATACGTACTTAGGTATCGTCATGAGCTAATGGTATCATGTAAACAGTGACTCATGTAGTGGAGAGATTGTCCAGTCAACTGATGGTAGCGTGGACTGTCCAGGCGATACGTGCTTAGGTATCGTCGTGAGCTAATGGTAACATGTAAACAGTGACTCATGTAGTGTGGAGATTGTCCAGTCAACTGATGGTAGCGTGGACTGTCCAGGCGATACGTACTTAGGTATCGTCATGAGCTAATGGTAACATGTAAACAGTGACGTAGGGATCGTGCAGCCAACTGATGGTAGCGTAGACTGTCCAGGCGATACGTACTTAGGGTATCGTCATGAGCTAAAGGTCACATGTACCTAAACAGTGACGTAGGGATCGTGCAGCCAACTGATGGTAGCGTGGACTGTCCAGGCGATACGTACTTAGGTATCGTCATATCTACCTGTGGTCAATGAATAAACTAACAAAGGAATCCACTTCAAAAAATATTCCGAATCAGAGTCACGATCTCAAATCATGCGGACAAAACGACGATTGTATCGATTTTAATCTACAATCGATTTACTTACAAATATCGATATGTTTCGTATCGATTGATCGAACGTTTTAAGGACGTGTCTCTAAATTGTGTTTTGGAATATTTTGAATGTTTATTCTTATTATCTGTCCTAAATAATGTTCGATTTATTCAAAATTCGATTTTTGAATTAGTCACAATAGAAATTATTCATTTATTCGACAGTAGACACGCACACAGATACAAAATTAAAAAACAACTTACTTAAATATCGTGCCATCTCTATCGTTTTACAAAGAATTTGTTATGACAGAACTTGCCTTGTTGGCCGAGTGGTCGCAAGTGCGACTGCCGGGCAAGGGGTCCCGGGTAAGGCAAAGTATTACTGGGTTTAAAAAAACATCTCATTGGTAACACGGAGTCTGGAATTGTGACTGGTATATGGCAATAGTCTCACCTCCTATTACATGGGACTCATAACATGAATAGTGAAAAGTGGGTGTTACATTGTACAGTGGTATTAGGTGCTGTAATGTGCACCTCTGCCTATCCCTTCGGGGATAAAAGGCGTGATGTTATGTTATTTTTCGTATCTGTCGTCTTGATGTTGTTTTAAGGGAAGAATTTTAAACATGTGTCAATATTAAAACTGTGACAGGTAATACAGTAGCAGGATTTACAGATATTTTCGACTTCTTTTAGATTTTTTGTTGTGTTTGTTTAGTGTTGTGGGTGGTGGCAATTATCGATATGTTTTTGCAATAAATTAAAGAAAAATGTCGATGGGGGTAAAAATAGTTAACAAGAAAACTGAATTTCAATTTATTTCTTTGTCATTTCATTTGAATGATAAATATATTTACTTTACACGATTTTTGCATATTCTACCTCTATTGCTAACCATTCACCCAAAAAATTTACAATATGAGTAAAATTGTACCTTAACCCTTTGAGTACCGTCATTATAGACACAATTAAAGAACAATAGGTTGCGGTCACCGGTGTCCTCGCGGTGTTTGACAGTTTAAGGCATTAAGTCCGCTATTCACTGTAGTTTTTGTGAACAAGTTAAAAAGTTATAAATAAATGTATTATAGACACAATAAAATATAAAAAAAAACTATCGACATCGACACATCACATCACTAACACAAAAATATGTAACACAAAAACCCACTCGATATATCGGCATGTCCCATCCATGTTTACTTAGGTACACTACTTGAAAGTGCATTGTATTTTACTGTAGACGCATATCAATCTATACCGAAATATCAAATATCTTTGTTACATTTTGGACCTTATAATTCTCGTAAAAAAGTTGTAAATGTACTGATAGTGAAGTGTACTTTAATATGCGAACACTTACAGAGTCACTTCAAGCTCCACTGTTTCTTTTTAGTCCATTTTCATACTTAAACTGTTTGTAACAGAGTTTTAAATTCATTGGCAGTGGAGTATACTTTATATGCGTGTTGATATAGTTTTTATATTGTTCTGCAGAAATATTAAGATTTGAACGTGTGACGTCATATCTTTGGTATTTTTGAAAACGTATATGAAGTGTGTGTGAATGTGGGCGTATAAAGGGTAGGATAGCCTGACGGCGTCTTAAAAATATTGATTTATGAAAAAAATTAAGTACTTGTCGAATATACACAGTAAAGCCTGAACTCGTATAAATTCAACAAAAAAGTATATTAAAAAAATAAAGATCCTGGTCAATCTAAAACCAATTTAATACATAACAAGTTACAGGTTATTTTGGAAAATTTTTAGTTTAACCTACTTCTTCGCGTTTTCCAATATAAACTCATTGAGTACTTCAAAATCGTATTAAAGAGTATAACCTTTTTTAACTACAGCGTGTTTTGTGACTAATTTGATTTCAAAATGGTCCCATTTACAAATCACATAGTGTCTGTTTTTATAATAACTATCGTGAGATATACTAAATTAAATAAAATCGCACGTGAATATACTGAGAAAAGCTCTACTAGTTTCGAACCACAGAGGGGTTCTTCCTCATGAGCAGCGTGCGCGGTCGCGGCGACGTCGCGCAGCTCACGGTATTTGTATATTCACGTGAATAACCCGCGATTTTATTCACATAGTGTCTGTTCTATTTTACCTCTTTTAGTACTTTCCTTTTGTCATAACAATTCAATAAGTAACAATAAGTCCTACTTATTACCACTACATAGTATAAAACCAAGTCGCTATCCACCGTCTGACTGTCCCTATGTATGCTTAGGTCTTTAAAACTACCTATTCCTGAATCCCCAACGATCCTCAAACTCCTAATCCCCAAAAGGCCGGTAACGCACTTGTAACGCCTCTGGTGTTCCAGATGCTTACCATCAGGTGATCCGTCTGCTCGTTTACCGGCTTATGCCATAAAAAAACTACGCAACGGATTTTGATGCGATTTTTTTTAATAGAGTGATTTTAAAGGAAGTTTTATATGTATAATGCATGCACATGCATATTGCACCCGTGCGAAGCCGGGGCGGGTTACTAGTAACCGATAAATACAGTACCAGGAAAAACAATTTAAATAAAAAAGAAAATCCTCTCAGATATAGATAACGTCTTTCAAAGATTGCAAT